TTGCTTTCAGTAAAGTATGGAGATACTGAACTATCAGGTTTATTTTTCTAGGAATTTCTCATTCCTAGAAAAAGTTTATTTTTCCCTCCATAATTCTATGTTTTACACAAAAGGTCTGAATGGGCCTGAAGGACAGGTGTGGGCTCACCAGAGGGTTCATTTCTTAATCATAGTTGCTACCAAAATATAAATTTTTATTTTAAGTATATTTTTTCATTTTGTCATGCAAATCATGTCTGTAGAACTCTTAATTCGGATATGCCTGAAAATGTTACCTACTAAATGGATTTGTACACTATCTCTGCACTTAGCTTCATATGGGCCTACATGGAGCCTTACATGGGACTATATGTGGAGCCCTACATGGAGCTGTATATGGAACTCTACACGGAGTTGTATATGGAGCCCTACATAGAACTGTGTATGGAGCCCTCCATGGAGCTCTATATGGAGCCCTACATGGAGCTGTATATGGAACTCTACACGGAGTTGTATATGGAGCCCTACATAGAACTGTGTATGGAGCCCTCCATGGAGCTCTATATGGAGCCCTCCATGGAATTGTATATGGAGCCCTCCATGGAGCTGTGTATGGAGCCCTCCATGGAGCTGTGTATGGAGCCCTCCATGGAGCTGTGATGTTTCACTGAATGTTCCACTAATGTGACTGGAATCATGGAGCCCAGCAGACAGGTGGCGTGGAATGTTAGTACTTTAACATTTGTCCCACCTAGGGAAAGGGAGCTTTCCCACTTGTTTTAATGGCAAAGTTTTTCAGTTGTCTGTCTGTCTGTCTATCTATTTATCTATCTATCTATCTGTCTATCTATCTATCTATCTATCTATCTATCTATCTATCTATCTATCTATCTTGTAAAATAGAGCAGATTGAAGGTTTGGTCTTTACCGGACCCCACCTTTACTCTTGTCATTTGCATTCTGATTGCTCTTCAATATTTTAGAAATGGGGTGGAATTATCAGTAGTCTCCAGGGAATTAACTGGAACCTGGGACTGTACTCATATGAACATCATTTGTCATATGTGACAGAGCAGAAAAACAAAATATGGGGACTAGCTAGCCTGCATGACCTGTCATATGGAACAACTTTAATCTTTTTGCTGAAAGTTGTGTTTTAAATCAAGTAACTCTAGATCAATGCTCCTGTGAATGGGATTCTGGACAGAGCAATGTCTAAGCTGCAGAATAGTACAGTGTGTAATTATATGACAGATTCAATGAGTATCAATAAGTTTATTTTTAGCTGCATTGCCTCTAGGAGCAGAATCGGTGCAGGTTGTTCTGTAATTGCATTCATGACCAACACATGCTTCTTGCTATATTCTCTTTTGTTTTGCTGCTGCACCTAATGTGTTCAAAGAATGCCTCCCCTCTTAATGAATATTCAGTGTGCAGTGATCCTAAAATTAATCATTTGTTCTTTGCTTCTACTAGAATTAATATAGATAATCAAATAAATAAAATTTTGCTGAATCTCATCATTAGGAAGCCCTCCATGGAAGTTGAATTTATCAGGACAGTAGTAGTGTTAGGAGACATTTTATTTCCTTGTCTGGAAGAACCAGATTAATTTGCAAGGGGAGGGATAACTGAACTTACTTAAAATAAAAAGACCGAAAGTGTGCTCACATTCCTAGGTTCCAGCTCCTGCCTCTCTCCCCTTCTTCCTGTGGGTGGGGGAGTGACCCTCAAGAAGGGTTTCCACGTGGCCTCCAGACCTGGTTTGATGCTAATGCTTTTAGCCCTGGCATCTTTCCTGAGGAGTTCCCATGCCACCTTTTCCTTTGGCTGATTCCCCCCTGTGGTCCTAGGTCAGAGCCCTTGCTGGCACGTGCACCAGAGATTTACATCCCACCCATATTGGAAAAGGGTGTTTTAGATCTCAGTTGAGGCACTTACCTTCTATCTCCGGCTTTCTTTCCATAACATTAACAAGTTGTAGTTAGGTTTCTAAAACAGACCCCGTTTTCCTCTGTGCATTCTTCATATTTACCTTCCATAGATTTTGTCAGAATCCTTTTGCTCAGCAAGTAATAGTCATCTCACTCCGATTTGGAGGTATCCACAGCCTTTTCTTCTTTTATATCTCAGCAAGGATTGCCTTTGATGGCTAGCTCTATTTGTGTTTGCTGTGGGTACTTCCTGTGGGGGAGGATGTCCAGGGAGTTGGTGGTAAGCCACAGATGTTTCAGTGGAGGCTGCTGGGTGGCACGGACTGAGGTTCCATGAGCCACGAGGAGACCCGCCAGTCTCAGTTCTCTCCCTTTGCAGTGATAGGAAGCGTCCAGGGAAAGCAGTTGTTCTGTATCCTAAGAGGAGACAGGTTGCATCCATGTTGTCTTTGCTCTATTGCACATCTCTATATTCAAAAATGCCTTTGAAGCACTGCACACCTCATGTCCAAGCAACTGCCTCTGAGCTGGTGGCCGTCCTCCTTCTGGCCCCCCTGGCCTGAGCCTACTCGCTCCTGTCTCAGGTGCCATGAACAGATTCCTCCTCCTGCGACAGTACGCGCACGCGTGTGCCTGCACCTCAGTCATCAGTGGCTCTCCCTGCCCCTTCCTTTCCTTAGAGGCCTAGTGCAGCTCGCCCTCCTGGGGAATTGGGTTCCTTACTGTCCCAACATGAAATTGCATCACTGGGTTGCTGACAGCCCTCGCTTCTGCTGTGCTTTTGGAATAGCTTTCTCCTTTGCTGGTAACCGCAGCCTGGCAATCCTCTACAGTCTAGGCATTTCTAGAGTGCTGCACATGTTTCAAAGGCCTGCTTTCACTCCCTCCCAAGAGAAGGGCTGCCGTGGGACTCCCGTTCTGATAGGAACTCTCTCACATGCATATCCCATGTGCCTTAGAGAGGCCCTGCGCCAAACTAGGATTTTTTTGTAAAGGTTATTTTATGAATAAAAGCATGAATGAATGATTTCCTTGCCATTATCAACTCTTTTCTTTCATAATGGTAATGCAGAGAAATTAAGGTCATGATAATTGTATCGTACTTCAGAAAATAAAAGTATGTGTTCAAATTGATGAGAGCTCACGGACATCTAGTGATAGGACTTGTTTCATAGCAACAAAGCATCCTTGAAAACGGAGTGACAGTGGCCATGGCCCTCTGACTTTGTAGATGAGAATGGAAAGTAAATTTCTAGCAATCATGAACCCCCCATTTATATGATTATGTGTTTTAAATTGGGGAAAATAAAGAACTTGTTTAGCTGTTTTCGAGAAATGGGTATGGAGTTAACAGGAGACAGTTTAGCCACATTTAGCTAATCATTAGTGTAAAAATAAACTGTGAATAGAAATCTTTCGTTAAGTGGATCTGTGGGGTCTGGATTGACTACTCTGGGGTGGTCGGTGGATTCGTCTCACAATCAGCTTGAGTGACAAAATGCAGTCATTTTAGAGTGAGAGGCAAATTCAGGTACATTTTAGCAAGTGCCTGCTTTTAAGGTGTGCGAACCTTAAAATGTTCATATTCTCGGTGCAGCCTCTCTTAGACCCGGAAGTCACAATAATAATGAGTGAAATAGCTGGAGGACACATCTTTCCTTCGAAGGACAGTTTGGGTCCTATTTTCCGTTAGGTTTCGTTCATAGAACAGTTTGCCTATTATATTTTTTGAAGGACTTAAGTGACGCTTTTTAAAAATAATAAGACACACTTAGCACTGCCTCCTTGCAGGGACATTTTAAAAACAGTCATGAAAAGAACCAGTATTTCCTTCGCAGGTTGACAGCACCCAGTCTGCGCAGGCTTTTGTTTTTCTGGCCCCACGATGCAGTCGGTGCTGTCAGTTTGTACCAGGGAACTGCCTGCCTGGCGTGCAGAGCCCGGGAGGTTTCACACACTCACTCCCCGTTGTGGGACACACTGGAAATTCCTCTCTTGCTGGGATCGGTCCTCTGAACTCAAGGTGAACAGCGGAGAAGTAAACCAGAGAGGGTGGTGGGTGTCGGTGGTGGGTGTCTAGGGTCAGAATTCTAAATGATCAGAAGTGCAGGTAATGGAAATACAACTGCAAGGAAGAACAAGACCTGCTTAGCAGTGCTCACAAGTAATCTAGTAGCTGGAGTTATGGAGAGCGGGGAGATGAACAACTTGGATGAACAACTTGGCATGTTTGTTGAAGAGCCTAGAAGCTTTTTTGAAAAGGTACTATGATATGAAATGTCAGAGTCTGTCCCTTAAAGAAGGAACAAGTCCGGTAAGAATATGCTGTAAATGTTGGAAACTGGAAAAAGGTTAAAGTCTTTAGTCTGGAAGGGCAGTAGCAACGATGGCTGGTTGGGGTCCAATGGCATGCCCCCTCCACGCTCAGCAAGGAAGTAAATTAACCTGGAACATGGAAACTTAGGTAGATGAAGAGTATGTAACAAGTGCATCATTGCAGGAGCTTTTGAAATCTTGGGTTGTTTTAGGAATAGGGTAGATGATCCAAATTCCTGAGAGCAGGACTCATTACTTCTCCCTCTTTCTTACTATGATACACATTTTGGGCAGTCGGTGTAGTTTGCAATGTACTTTAACGTGTGCCGTGTTTTCTTGTCTTCTCAGCAGCCCTGTCAGGAGGGCAGTGGGTTTTCCCCCTCAAAGAATCGAGAGGGGCAGTTAGAGGGGCCCTTGCCAGGTCACACAGCCCCTCTCTTTAAAGGGTAGAGTTATGCCTCTATGTCTCATTCAATGGAATGACTCACAACAGCACGTGTGAATAGTTTTCTTCAATTGAAAATGTGAGCTTCACTCTGGACCTCACAACTCACTCTAAACCTAGTAGTTCTGCCTCCAGGGAAACCGAATAGGACTGTAGCCATCAAACTTGTTTCTGGAAGAGGGAATTGAATAAATGTTTGCTTCCCAAAGTGCATCATTTTATGAAAGTCACAGATTAGAAAGGCAGGTTAAGAAGGGTTTTTCTCTCACTCAGGATCATCATGTTCTCCTGACAATCACTACTGACTGACTTCTTGTCTTTTTCAGAGTGAAGACCTGCCTGGCTTCATTACCACAACATCACACATCAGAGAATCACATGGAAAAGAAGAGGCTCAGCATTTTATAAACATTTGAAGCTGCTTACAGTTGTTCCTTTGGATCTGAGCAATTACTTTGTTTTAAACATCTGCGGCTGTACTAGACATGAAACCAACAAGGCAAGAACGCCGCCTCCCTCACTGGTTCCCATAGGGGGCATTCATCCTTGTGCTGTTTGTGTTGTGTTTTGTTTTGTTGTTTTAACACAATTTGCCGAAGAAGTAATTCTCAAGATGATGGGATGTTTTCATTGGCCTTTTAAATTGTGGCCAGTGTCTTAATTTCTTCTTACGTTCATTTTGGCAAAGCCAGTTTGTCCCTCGGCATGCTAGGAGATTCTACCGATACCCATTAAAGTGGTAAAATCTGGTATTTACTGGCATACACTCAAAACTACCACAGTCCTACCTCAGTTCCAGGTGAAGCCGGATTTGCGGGGTTGGGGGCCGGCAGGACCTCCGTGTATCTCTGCTGAATGTGGCGCCAGTGTGGTCATCAGCCTTATTCAACTGGTCCCAGTACACAGCTGCTTGTTGGACTCCAATCCAGGTTCCTGCGTGTTTACTCACAGACAGAGCCCACTGTGGGGCTGACGTTTCTCTATGGGAATGAAATTTGTGATTGGACGTTGAAGATGGATTAATAAATAATAATTATATGTAACTAAAGCAGCCTACTTTTGGAAATCATCAACTGTATTGGGTATTGGGGGTGGGAGGGGAGGTGTTGGGGCAGGGGCTGAATATCTCTTTTTAACAGAGTTGTTTAATCTTCTCTATGTAGATGTTTATGTGGGTACTTCAAATTGCGAAAGCCTTTGATCCTATTTACAAGCTCAAATGTCTCTGCTGTCCTTAATCTTGAGCTTGCATTTCTTTAACCAAAAACTCACCTAGGCATGCCAGCAATTCAAGGGTGGTCACTGGTTTAGCAGAGTTTTTAAAAATGTATTTATTATCTTAACTATAATGCTATGGTGTGGGCCAACAAGGCTTCCCTGAACAACAGTACAACAAAACACGGGAGGGGGGTGGAGGAAAGAAACTGATAAAAGAGGCATTTCGGGCCCTGCGTTGTTAATGGAAAAAGAAAAAAGAAGGAAAACAATCTCACAGTACATGTCACGTGTTGGCAAACTCCTGACCAGACTACGCTTACATTTTCAGTGTTCTGAAAATACCAGTGTTGTGTCGATTCTCACAGGTGTCACCTAAAACTGCTGCCCTTGACCAGCAGAAAGTCATGTCATCTCGCTGCTCCCTTGACACGTGATGGAGGGCTCCAGACCTTTTTCTCCCATGGGTGCATCCCCAGTGCCTATCTTCTCTGATAGTCCTGAAGAGGTTACACTAGTTCATTGGAGGTGTGAACTTGTTATTTTCTTTCTTTTTTTTTTTGGAGAAAAAATTATATATAAATATATAGATATATATCGCTATAGAATAATGCATTACTAAAAATGAGGCTTTTTTTAGAGGAAGACCAAAAAATTCAATGTCTTAAGAATATATTTAATGGCAATGCAAACGTCTTCCTGCTTCCATGCTGAACTCTTAGAACAGAGGATTGTATTGCAAGACAAAGTTGAATGTAAAGTGATCCCCCTGGACGTTTTTTAAAAGTTTTACTTTTCTAAAATTACACATCACAGCAGTGCATAGAGCGTACGACGTTAGTTTGAAGGTCAATTTCAGTGTATAATAGACATACTTTATAAAAATGTATAAAATGTCCTAAAGTGTTGATTTAGTCTTGGGACTAGGACTCGGGCGGTATTTGCTATGTGACTCCCCCAGGTACGTAGGACTGAATATGGGCCCTGCTGAATACAGTGTATGACGGCATTTAAGTAGCTCTCTATACTTAGAGTAGTCATGCCTCTATACCAATGGTTCATGTTCATACTGCAACTTCAAACTAGCAAATGAAAAGTCGGTAATATGCTAAATGTTCCTCTATCCTGTACATTTCAAAAAAGGCATATGCAATATTTACAGTTTTAATTTAGTTTACAGAATGGAACCAAAATGTATAAATGTTATGTTTGCTAAAACTTCACAATGTATATTGGGGTCTTTGTACATTTTGCCTGACTTACCTTAAATTTAAAATATTTTTTGCTATATAAACTTTAACAGTTATTAAACAGTGTTTTCTTTTTTGGGTACGTATTGTTTCTGAATATCAAGATGTTAAATATATTTCTTGCTATTGTGATATGACAAAAGACTTAACTAATCTTGCTCTGTCTTCCACTGTACACGCTGTATATAAGGGTCAATGTGATGCTGCTGGAGACAAGAATAAATGGAACTAGAATAGTGCATTGTATTTAGTCTGTATTGATCATGGATGCTCTCCTTAATAGCCATATGCAATAAAATAAAATACATTATTTATGAAATGAATAAAGCCTTGAGGATATTTTTTTCAAGGTGGATTCTGGATTTAACATGAAGCCACTCCTGGTGTTTTGGAGTAAACAAGTAAACACTTGGCTCCTACAAAAACATTTGATGCCTCTCAATGTTAATACGTTCTGGGAACCAGAAAATGCCCAAATCACAAAATTTTTTAAAAGAAAATGTGTTAAGTAAACAAAAAAAAGACTTTTACTTTACAAAACAGAATCCTTGCAAGATGCTGGATGCCGCTCTAAATGCTATATAAATATTATATTCTTTTTTTTAAATATATTTTATTGATTTTTTACAGAGAGGAAGGGAGAGAGATAGAGAGTTAGAAACATCGATGAGAGAGAAACATCGACCAGCTGCCTCCTGCACATCTCCCACCGGGGATGTGCCCGCAACCCAGGTACATGCCCTTGACCGGAATCGAACCCGGGACCCTTCAGTCCGCAGGCCGACGCTCTATCCACTGAGCCAAACCGGTTTCGGCAAATATTAAATTCTTTATAGCTCACAACAACCTCAGGTATTAAGAATCACCCCATCTTATAGATGAAGAGACTGAGGCACAAAGAGGTTAAATGAGTTGTTGGAGGACACATAGCTCATGAACAGCAGAACCAGGGGTCAAACCCAGAACTGCAGTCCCAGAATCTGTGCACCTGTGCACTCTGCCATGCAGCCTCCCAGAGATGCACACAAGATTAAACGCATGCATACGTACATGGAGAACACATAGAAGTAAAGACAGAGCCACGAGGTGCAATTTAGGCAGAAAATATAAACATAACTTGATTTTTACCAAGGACAATGCTTCCTCCTTGTCAGAAATATTTTTAGACATTTTTACCCTAAAATTATAGCAGTGCAGTAACGTGGGTGCCATCTCTTTTGAACAAATAAAAAGCAGAGGAATTTAGAAGATGATTTTAAAATAATGGCTCTTAATTCACATGACTGGCATGCACCATGTGGTGCTTAGGAACTTGCAGGGAACAATGTGACCTATTGTGCCATGATGGATTGTTCTGAGGGTTCCTGTTTGCAAAGAAGGAGGCATGATCTGCAAGGTTAGATATCCCTGAAGTGTAATGACAAGAGGATAAATGATAGATGTCACTCGAGGGGAGCCTTTTCAAGCAAGAATTGGCAAATGTGTTTTCCCAGAAGAGCCAATGACAAATAAAAAAGTGAAGAGTTGTTTCAAAGGGCCATAGGTCTGGAAATACTCAAAACCAATTAATAAACTTTTAGGAGGAAGCTAAGTGTTATAACAAGATGAAAGATAAAGATTGCATCACATTGATGTAGGAAGTTGGATTCTGACCCATTGATGGTTTAGTAGTCAGCTTGGAAGGTGTAGATGGCTTTTTGGTGCTGTCATATTCTCATGGTGTTGTCATTAGACTCAAGAGTCCAATATCATTGAGCTGATCTGCAGACCATAGTTAGTCCCTCTTGAAGCCATAGACCCAGGTTTAATGTCACTTAGCAAGAGCAAGTTTCCAGGTGGCCTTAGGCAGACTGTTCATTCACTTTGACATCTAACCCTGTGTTGACGAGGTGTACTAGTATTTGAGTGAAGCCAGCATTACGTATGGCAGCTCTTAGATGCCACCAGTTGAAAGACAAAAGGCAGAATTGCTTCTTTTAAAATATGTCGTGTCTTCATCTTCGCCCCAGTTGTGCGGCTCTTCCACATTTCTCTGATTTACACAACTAAGTGAAATGTGTTTACAATTCTTGCTTGGACAGTGGTCTCTAAATAACAGAACTCTGTAATCTCACGTGGTGGACAGTTTGAAAACACTGAACATCCCTCCAGGCTCTCCTGTTAAATTTGGACTTTTCTACTTGCATTTCTGCTCTTATCTCTTGAGCCTGTTTTCACCTCATAGCTCCAAAGGACCCCACGTAGCAATTTGGTGGTTTCCTTGGCATCTCCTTGATGTCATGCTGAAACTACTTTTTAAAAAAATATACATTTCTTTGTTGATTTCAGAGAGGAAGAGAGAGAGAGAAACATCAATGATGAGAGAGAATTATTGATCAGCTGCCTCCTGCACGCCGCACACTGGGGATCAAGCCCTCAACCCGGGCATGTGCCCTCACCAGGAATTGGACAGCAACCTCCTGGTTCATAAGTCATCGCTCAACCACGGAGCCACACCGGTTGGGCTGAAACTACTTTTCTTGAATCCACCTGAGCCCTCAAGTTCTCACAGCCTTTGCCACTGCATGTAGAAAAATTCTGCCCTCTTTTGGGCACTGGCTCCTCTGTTTGGAGATGTACTTTAGAAGTTGTTTCTCCCCTACTATATCAGAATTTCCTCTATTTACCTAGGAACTCTAAAAGCTCTAAATTTTTACCAAAATTCCGGTCACCTTAAAAACCCTACCTCAACTCTTGACCCGCCTACCTGGGTGGCCCTGGACTCTTATCAGAGAATATACAACATGTTCTCATTTCTCCAGATCTTCCCATCCACAACATTCTAAATGTGCAAATGTCTTCAATATGAAAAAACCCCAAACACATCAAATTAACTGATAGAGTTTCCCAGAAAAGATACATATAATACAAGTACTTGTAATTATTAGAATATGTTTAGCTGCAAATAATAGGAAACCCAGCTCAATGGCTTTTAAACCAGTGGTTCTCACATTTGGGGGCTTATGCGAATCCCCTGGCGTGCTTTCTGGACCAGCTCTCGGGGCCCACTCCTAGTCTTTCTTTACACTTGGTCTGGGTGGGACCCAAGAATTTGCGTTTCTAACAATTTCCCAGGTGATGCTGATACTGCTGGTCTGGGACCACACTTGGCAAACCACTGAACAATAAAGGACTTTATCATCTCACGTAATGAGAAATTCGGGCTTAGATTCACAAGACAGCTAAATGACATCATCAGGGGCCCAGGATCTTTTCATCTTTCTACTCACTCAGCCATCCTCAGGATCTTGGCTTTTATCTCTCAGACCTGTCCCCTCATGTTTATAAGATAGTTACAACAGCTCCAAACAACATATCCTCAAATAATAATATCCAATAAAGACAATCCCGCTTCTTTTGGTGTCTTTTTGGAGCAAAGCAAACAGGCCCAAAGCCGCCCACTTCACCCAGCTCTGCCTTAAGTCCACTGAACAGAACTGGGTCCCATGCCCATGCTGACATTGGTCCCCGGGAAAGGAGACTGCACTGTGGCTGATTTACACTAAAAGGGATTCACACTCTGGGCTGAGAAGCAGTCAGTATCCCATGAAGCACCAGTCTGCTAGGTACTGAACAGAAGTTGGGTGGTGGGAACACACACAGAAGGGATGAAGTTCCAAGGGCAGTAGAAAACCAACATGTGATCAAAACCCTTTCCAAATACAATTATTCTTCAAATGTGTTCTCTCCATTCACGGTTCTCATACTCCCAATCGCTAGTGATTTTGAAAAGGAGGATTTCTAATGAAGCACAAGTAGAATAAAATAATTTCGCATTATCAAAAATGTAATAGTGATGCTGACCTATGTATACAGAATTTTTATTTTCAAGACTGTGAACATAATTCTACTACTATGTTTCTCACGTATGTTTGCTTTTATTATTGAATCCTGTGCAACACTGGAAGCTAGTTTATAATATATTTTTATTGATTTCAGAGAGGAAGGGGGAGGGAGACAGAGGTAGAAACATCAATGATGAGAGAGAATCATTGATCGGCTGCCTCCTGCACACCCCATACTGGGGATTGAGCCTGCAACCCGGGCATATACCTTGACCAGGAATTGAACCGTGAATTCCTGGTTCATAGTTGACACTCAACCATTGAGCCACACTGCTCAGGCTGTAAGCTATTTTATAAAAGATCATCAAGATACAAAGGATGGGAAATTAGAAGGTGCCTGAAAGAGCAAGGACTATTTAGTTGAAAAAGAGAAAGCTGTGGTGATTTGTCAGCATCGATTACACTAGAGACTAAGCTAAGCAAATGATTTTGTCAAGTGACCTTCTCAGAAGAAGAAATAACCAGAAAAAAAGGGGGCAAAAGTGAGAAAAATGTGTTCATTTTCCACAAGAAACAATTTGATAATAATGAGGATTATTAAATATCAATATTATTGTCAAATGAATTTTAGATTACATTCCTTGAGGCCTTAAAAAATAGGACTTTGTAGCCATCTTTGTTTGAAGGATGAGAGAGGGCAGGTTGGCCATACAAGATCTACCAGCTCTTCTCACTGCCCGGGGCCTCCACAATTCACAGCTCCAGAAGCAGGGGGTTTGCTCTCTTCTGTGCTCATGGTACAGTCCCGAGGCTTTGTGCAGGGCCCAGCCTGAAAGCCCATATATCCTGGTTCTTTTCCTTGTCCTGGCATCTCTGAGGACTAGCATACTACTTAGCATTAGATTTAAGCAGGAAAAAGAAAATTCTTATAGTGTGTCTTCTACATAGTTTATTTTGTAACGGAAGTTTGTACCCACGTAATGTTTATGAATCTGAAGGAAAATCTACAAACTTGAAGGAAAGATCAGGAACTTAGGTTAATCCTGACTATCATCTAGCTTTGAAAAACCATGCTATCTCCAATTCATGTCACTTCAAGGGATTATAAAACATGGTGCAACCAAGTGACAGAATGATCTTTTTAAAATACACGTGTGAGCAGGTCTCCAGTTGGGTTAAAAAATCTATTGGCTTTATCCCACCCCTCTCCATCCCTATTATCCTATAGGAAAAGTCAAAATTTCTTAGCCTGGTAGACACAAAGCACTTCATTATTAGCTTCTGCCTACTTCCCTAGGCTTCCCTTCATGGCCCTCTCCTCCGCATTCCACCCTTACTGTGAGTCTGTGCCCAAGCCTTACTAAATTACATGAATGGTACTCAGCTCATGGATGAGAGAAAACAATGAACTGAAAAGAATTGCTGAAGTTGAAATAAATGTTTATTTACCAAGAGATGTTATTTCATAAAGGATCTCTCAAGAAAAGCTAATGCAAAATATTAGAAGTTTGATGCATTTTTAAATATACACATTTAAATGTTACACATCATCCCTTCAGTTCTTTAGAATCTGAGGCCATTCGCATGATCATTTCCACACCCCACCTCTTTCCTCTTTTTCTCTCTTATATGTGTTAGTTACATTATTATTTTTGCATTGTCGAGGATAAAAAAGTTACATCTGTAATATAATTAACAGGATTTTAAAATTTCAACCTCAACTTGAAGTAATTCATTTCCTGCCACTGGTCTTTTAACCATGCTTACTTTTTGATCCATTTATGAATTGTCTGTTTTTCTTTACTAACAGCAAACAAACAGAAGACTCAAAACTTTTCAAGAAACTTTTCTATATGCTATATTGCTTAAGTTGTCTCATATGTGAGAATATTTGCCTGTTGCCTTTGTAGATGAGCAACAAATTGGTTGGGTAGAATATTCTTAGGTCATTATGTTCTTTACTCAAGAACTTTACATACATTTCTCCATTGCCTTCTGGCATTGAATATTGGTAAATAGAAATATTACCTAAGCTGATGTCTTACTCTCATACTGACTTTTCCTTTCTGTTTAGATGCCTGATAACTTCTACCTTTATTCTTTCAGGGTATGTCTCAGTGTTGAGTATTTTATTTCAAATACTCTTGGCAATACTGTGACCTCTGTGTTTGCAGATACAGATATACAGATCTTTCTTTCTGTCAAGATAACGTCCTTGTTTTATACCTTTGAATACTTTTTATTTTTAATGTATTGAGTCCTCTACCTTACGGGCAATGATCATTTCGATGGGCTTTATCTTTAATGTATCTTTATATCCATATCTTTAGCTTCTTTCTAAATGTCTTTTTATCTTGCTTTTTCATCTGTTTGTATTCATCATGAGTTGAAATTTTTCCTGAGTCAGTGAAACATTTCAGCCATGTCTACCCTGTTTCTTACATTTGTAATATATGTATTAGTACTGTGTCAATGTTGTTTTTGTTCTTAATTCATTGATTTTAGAACTACATGCCACAAATTTGCATCTTATTCTGATTTTTGTTTACTAATTTGTTTTTGAGCTCTTAATTTATTGAATCTAGAGGTTCTACTGAATGGTTTCTGAGTTTGAATCTCTTTGAGGGAATTGGCATTGTTAAAGGTTCCCTATATACCCTGTCTCCTATCTACCTAATTTCAGGAGCAACTTCTGTCTCTCTGCCCAGTGTTAGGAGCAGTTGTGCTGAATTCATCACCAAATGTTAAACCTTTTATAAAACTGTAACTTTGCATTAAAAATTCTCTTGGTGCTCCTTCTTTGCCTGGAAATGGGTACTTAGTCTTCAAATATCACCTGGATCAGTTAGGATGGGATAGGCGATACTGCAGTGACAAGCAGCCCCCAAATTTCAGAAGCTAATTTCTCACTCACAATATCTCCAATGTGAATGGGTGGAGGGAGGAAGGGGTCTGGCTTATGGTGCTACCAGAGACCTAGGCTGATGAAGGCACCATCGTTTACTCCACAATCACAGAACAGTTAGTAGGAAACATGGTAAATTGTTCACTGCTTCTTAAAATTTACACTCAGAAGTGAGACATGTTGCTGCTGCTCATGTTTTCATTTGGCCAAAGCTGATCTTAAGGCCAAGTCTTCAAAGAGGATGGGAGACAACCTTGTCATGTGTCAGAAGGAGGTAATCAAGAAACATTTGGTGAACAGTTTTCATGAAAACACCACCTATTTTCAGCTTACCTAAGCAGAACTAGCTACTCACTTCTCTGGATTCCAAAATACTCTGCTCACCCCTCTGTCATTGGATCTTCCAAGTTTCACTCTATCATCTATTTATGTATGTTCCTCCATGGAGAGAATCACATTGTAGATGCAGAAGCTACAAAAACTCTGAAGAAATTGTCGTATGACATTTATCTACATTCCCATTTCACATTCACAAATCCCCTTGGGCTAAGTGTTATTTAGAACACCGAACCTCAGAAAGGTTAAATAACTTGCTCAAGGTCCCACAGCTAATAAACAATGAGTCTGAATTCAAAGCTGTTTTTCTGGCCCCCGCTTTTTCCTACTATGTTTTGGTAGAGCTAACACAACACATGATGTATAACAACTATTGGTTCAATATTTTGAATGATTGCATTGCTCTTCTATATTACTAGAATAATACCTGTATGAGTTTGTTGTTTTTAATGATTATATTGCATTATTTCTCCATATTTACCTTGTTTATTGGCTTTGTGAAGGCATAACATTGCTCAGGAAATTAAAATACATGCTCTGAATTATAGTAAGTGACCAATATTGCATCTCCATGCTCCCCCAATGCCAAACATGTATGGGAATCATATTTAGCTACATATAATGAAAAGCCAAAACAACAGTAGTTTAAAGATGTAAAGGTTTATTTTCTCAGGTAAAACTAGACCAAATGTGGGCATTCCAATGTGGGTATCAAGTTTCCTAGGACCGAGGCTCCCTCTGTCATTTAGCTTTGCCATCCTCAGTGCACATCTTTTGTCTTCAAGTTGGCTTCATGGTCTGAGGTGGCTCCTGCAGCCGTCACATTTGCTTTGACAACATATAAGGTGACTGGAAAAAACTAAAAAAGCTTCCCCTACTGACTTAGGCAGTGACTTTATAAGTGAACCTTCTGCTCAAGTCTTACAGGCTGGACTTTAGACACGTATAAAAGCTGCTGCAAGAGATGCTGGGAAACAACAGACTTGGAACTGGGAACACTGCACTGCAGAATTCATTCAGGCTGTTAGTTTAAGGAGGATGGGAAGAATGACAATTGGGTAGACAGCAACCTCTGAAATCTCATATATGTAGCTCTGACTTCAAAAGCAGCTGCTGCCTTTGGGTTAACTTGATCATATGTTTTGCTTTTTAAATATATGTCTTTTATTAGGTTTCTTTCCCTTTGAAGAGTTTTAAAAATAGCAGGACTCTGAAGTGAAAGGACTTGGTCTGAAGGCAGGGTGCTTGTGGACCAGTGCTAAAAGCACTGAGCATACCAGAATAATGGCTTCACTAACATGCACTTCCTTTGACGTAGGCAATGCTGAATAGGAAATACACATATGGCTATGTCTATTAAAAATTACATAATCTTCTGTTGTGAGAACAACACAGCTTTCCCAGGGAAAAGTGTACAAATTTAAATCAACTAAGATTACATGTGAACCTCGATTGTGGTAGAACAGTCTTAGCTCTGGTCCCTCACTCAGCTGCCCAGAAACAACAGGGAAATTCATTTAACATGAACTCATGGCAGGAATTCCATGAGAAAGGGCAGGTCATGCAGAAAATCCACTCAGCCTATCCCCCTTCTCAGAAGGTATAGAAAAGCACAGCCATCCCTGTCCAACTGTGAAGATGGTTGCCTTTAGGTAACTGAGAAGGCAAGACACAGTATACACCTGCATATTTGAAACACATATTTGAACATCTCTTCTCCATTATTTATTTCTTCAACAAATGTTTATTGTATTTCTCCTCCACGTCTGGTTCTTTTCTGGGCACAGGAGATAGCGTGATGAAGAAACCTTAGTCCCGGCACTCTCTGAACTCCCTTCTAGTGATAGACAGATAAGTAAATAAATATAAAATATGAGATGAAAATAAATAAGACAGGAAATAAATGTAGAGCAGGCTAGAGCCAGAGTGAATGGATGAGCACTATTTCTTGTAGGGGCGGTTGGAGAAGGCCTTTATGAGGTTACACTTACACAGAGCCCTGTGGGGGGCATGGAGGGCAGGAGGGCTCTGTGTGGATATTCAGAAGGAGAGCATCAAAGGCCAGGGACCAGCATGTGTTAAGGCTCTGGGGCAGGAACATACTAAACCAACTGGAAAAACAAGGGGGAGGCCAAATACTTAGTTCCTGCTCCACCATTCCACTCTTTACCGTTCACTATTTAATGCTCATGTTTAAATGAGAATTAATTATGCACATAATCTATCAAAGTTGTGCCACGGATCAGTGGTTGAGCATCCATGGATCAGTGGTTGAGCATCAACCTATGAACCAGGAGGTCATAGTTCGATTCCTGGTCAGGGCACAGCCCGGATTGCAAGCTCGATCTCCAGTGGGGGGCGTGCAGGAGGCAGCCAATTAATGATTCACTCTCATCATTGATCTTTCTTTCTCTCTCTCCATCTCCCTTTCTCTGAAATCAATACAAATATATTTATTTATAAATAAATAAACACATCAATAAATAAATGTGACTATTGACAGCTTTGCTTTACTGCTTAATACAGAGAGCAGGTGAGCCAGGAGGAAGGACAGCATTAAACAAACAAATAGAAACTTCCCTTGGCTTTGAAGGGTTATTCATTCAGGTGGCAAATATATTCCAAGTGAAGGGGCGAGACCTAGTGGGCTGGACATTAACATAAACAGTGTGTATCCTAGCAGAAGGAATGTGTGATGTCCACACACACCAGAGGGGCTGGAAGTGAAGTCTCAGGCAATAGTAAAGTGCTCGGAACCAGGTTTCTGCTGGGGGAAACGGTCTTAGCTCTGCTGTTTCAACAAAGTGCTTGATTTCCTTAGAGACCCAGAGCTGCCGCCGAAACCACAGCTGACAGCGCAATGATCCTCTTCGTATGGACATGCTGAAGGACAGTGCGTGGGAGCCAAGGCTCTCAGGGCCAGCGTGCATGGTCACTGCACGTGGCCATGTGCTGATAGGCTGTTGTCTTTGGCCCAAGTGTCCTGCCGTGACCAGGCTGGTCTCTGCTGCAGGAGAACACATGTGCTATTTCATCGCTGGCTAATCACACAGAGGCCTTGGACGGACTCCACAGTTAGAAGGAGTTGGGCCCTATGCTAACAAGATCTTGATGCTGACGAGTCCACCACCCTACTTTGAAGATAATTTTATGAGTCAGTTTAATAAAAAAAATTTCTAGGCCCCTTATTTTCTTTATCCACTGCGATAATTATTGGTATCTCATATCTTAGTTATTGTCATCATCAGTGACGTCTGCTGTCCAAAAGAAAGCAAAACGCACAAAAGTCACGGTCCCTGTTCTCACATGGTGATGAGTATTAACTGGCGTGCTGAGGAGGGAGAAGGGCATGTTCTGTTAAAATAATCAGATATTGGGTTTTGAAAAAGGTGTCATCACTCCGGATGTGTTTTTACGTGACACCTCACTGCATCATCCTATGATGCCCGAGGATGCCAGAAATCGTCACGCCCACAGCGACTTTGCTGAGATTAGAAATTTGGTTTATAACTGTCATGCTGGCTGTGGGTGAGCAGATGTCCCCTAAAGAGCAAGAGGAATGCCCGGCTGGTGTGGCTCAGTGGTTGAGTGTTGTCCTATGAACCAGGAGGTCAGGGTTTGATTCCAGGTCAGGGCACATGCCCAGGTTGTGGGCTCCATCCCCAGTGTGGGGTATGTAGGCGGCAGCCAATGATTCTCTCTCATCGTTGATGTTTCTCTCTCTCCCTCTCCTTTCCCTTCCTCTCTTCGATCAATAATAAAAATATATTTATTTTTAAAATGAGCCAGAGGACCAAACTTGACAATGGCAGTAGATGAAAAACCTGGGGTCTGTCTTTGCCAAGTTCCTTTTCTTCTTGCAGATGTGTTCTCACAGCTCTCAGACCACTTGCAGCAGAGGGAGGGAAGCCTTTGGCTAAGACAAAGCCATGCCCTCCATAAAGGACCCGGTGGCCATTGCCTGGGTGGCCATGGAACCTTCGCCTTCTTGGGAACAAGCTCCCGGCTGGCCAAGAGCACCTGCTGGCAAGAGCTCAGGGTGACGCCGCCATCCCACTGCTCTTAGGAAAGCTGAGCCTGGGTTGGGTTTATCCCCGGACACCAAAACCATCCTGGGTTTTTCCTCTCTGCCATACCTACCCCCTGAGGCATGAGAAAGGCAAGGATGCCCACTGCTCCTGGCCGGGCAGCCCCTTCCCGCTGCCCCCTTCACAGCCCTAAGGAGGCCCCATCGGTGGCCTGAGCTTTCGAGGATCTGTTGGATGTCAAGCTCTCCTCCCTGGCAGGCAGCCACGATTTTGTTTACTGCTCTCAAAGCAAACTCGCACTCCTTCCTCCCGCCCAGCCCCTTTTTTCAAAACATTAAACTCTTGGCTCGCAGTCATCACTTCCTGCTTTCATCTGTTTGGCCTGAGCCGCTGACATCGGGCCGGGCCGGGGGCCAGAGCCAGCCATCCCTCCAAGGACAGCACCACTGCCCCCACCAGAGCGCACAGGCCCGTGGACAGCAAGGCCAGCGCGTAGTGCGCCGGAGAGCTCCGTGTTCCCTTTTCTTATCACCTCCCCTGTGGTTGCTGAAAGTTAGCTGACTTTTGAAGACTCCCTAGGAAGGGGGTACGTCTAACGTGGGCCATGGCGATATGAAATTAAAGTAACACAGCAGCCCCCCCGATCCCTGAGGAATACAGAGCAAGACCCACAGGGGCTGCCTGAAACCGCAGATAGTGCCGAACCCTATGTACATCATGTTTCTCCTACGTATACATAGCGATGAGAAGACTTAATTTATAACTTAGACACAGTAAGGGATTAACAACAATTACCAATAATAAACGAGAACAATTATAACAATATACTGTAATAAATGTTATGTGAATGTGGCCTCTTTTCCTCTCAAAATATCTTATTGTATTGGACTCACTTTTCCACTTAAAGGAAGCACTTTAGTGCTTTTCTTTGGAATATCCAAACTGCCAGCATCACTACTCTTGCATGGTGAGGCAATTATTAAGTAACTGGGGTTACTTGCACACAAGCACTGTGATACTATATGTGATACTGTGACAGTCAGTATGATAACTGAGATGGTTTCTAAATGACGACCGGGTGGGTAGAGTGGATACACTGGACAAAGGGATGATTCATGATTCCGGGGAAGGACAGAGCGGGAGGATGCAAGATTTCATCATAGTCTCAGAAAGGCACACGATCGAAAGCTTATGAATTGCTTATTTCTGGAAATTTCCATTTAGTACTTTTGAACCATGGTTGACCGTGGGTAACCGAAACCACAGAAAACAAGACCACGGGTAAGGGGGACTACTGTACCTCTGCATCTGTTTTAATCATGACATCCTGCCTTGGTTTCACACCATGTTTGCAAGAGGGCAGCCCCCTGGGTTTGTCCTCCAGAGTTCTGGTAAATCCTGGAGCCACTCTGATAATGGAATTCCCTTCTGGCATCCTCTAGAAGCCTAATTGAATACAGCAGGAAGCAGTGACGAGAGCCTTTTAGCATGTCTATCTCCTTCCAATTGCACACTTTCTCAATAGGAAGCAGTTTCTCTATTCTGAGGAGAGTAAGTAACCCCCCCTCCCTCCCACTCACTTTCCCCTGCACACACATTCCCACATTCCAATTATTCATAGCTATGTTATTTCCCTTCCACTAAAAGTTTTCTCCCAATTACCTGGAGGCATCCAGGTGTGGCTGAAATATGCTCAACCCTGGGAGTAAATATACACACCTAAGGGCAGTGAGCAGCAGATCAAGACAGCCTGTACAGGGAGCCTAGTAGCTGTTTACCTGGTGACTCAGGAAGGATGCAAAGGCCAGATGGTTGGCATACTGCAGAGGCTGACAGGCACTTTCATTTGATTGCTTAAGAATAAGTTCAGTGGAAAAGGGGTTTCACGTGCCTTCTTCCTTTCTGTGGTTCCTGAGTTTCACTGTGCTGCTCTCTAAACTATTATCAAGGGGAAGAAAATAAAACTTTTTAATTGTTTTCTTTGCACTCAAGGTCAGGTAGGAAGGTGAGACTTATAAATCTTGAACTGCACAAAGGTATACATGTACTAGTAAGTAAACTTAAAATATATTTTGAAATAGTTTTTGTCATTCTGTAGAATACTTTCTAATCTTTAATTGTTGCTATAGACTGAATGTTTGTGTCTCTGCCAGATTCATGTGTTGAAGCCCCGAGGTGCTGGTATTGGGAGGTGGGACCTATGGGAGGTGATGGAGGGGATTTGTCCCCTATAAAAGAGGCTCAAGAAAGCTCTCTTGTCCCTTCTGCCATCAGAGGATACAAGGAGAAATCAGCAGTCTGCAACCCAGAAGTGGGCCATCATTGTGTTAGCATCCTGAGCTTGGACTTCCAGCCTTCAGACTGTGAGCAATAGATTTCTGCTGTTTTTAAGTCACCCTGTTTACAATCGCTGTTATAAGACATTTGTAAAATACCCACTTGTGACAAGTATGTGGAAGTGACTGAACTGAGACACAGTGGTAAATGTCCAAACTAGTAGATGGCAAAGACAATATTAGAGTTTGCTCCTCTCAGTCTCTGACACATGAGATTGAAGGAACTACAGCATCAAAGATCCTGGGATAAAAACTCAGAGCCTGGGTCTGTGTCCTGCACGACATTGGACAAACGTCACTCAACTTCCTGCTCAGCAGCTGGTACAGGGGAAATCTCTTGGACTGCTGCTGGGTCCTAGAAATAGTGAACATATATAAGGGGATTCTTAAAGGAGTGAGAGAGTGCTGTACCAAGTAGGTATGCAGGCCACATCATCTCTAACAATATATCTCTGCAACCTGCATTGCTTTGCCTTGCCTCTTTGGTTCACACCTAAAATAACCCTTTACTGAAAGGTGAGGAGTCTGTGTAGTTTCTTTGAAGGTTTTTCTTTGGAAACACCTAAGTAAAGTGTTATTTAATACTAGAGGCCCGTTGCAGGAAGATTCCTGCAAGAATAGGGCTTCCTCGGGCCTATTCCTGCAAGAATAGGGTTTCCTGAGGCCGGAGCAAAGCAGAGAAGGGAGCCAAGCCTGCCGAGGAGGGCTTCGCTCCCTTCTCCGCCACCTCGCTCCCTCCCGTCTCCTCCGCCTTGCTCCCTGCCTTCTCCGCCACTTCGCTCCCTTCTGCAGCACTTGCCTTCCTTCTGCGCTGTCTTCAGTCTTCGCTCCGTGCCTGTGTATGCAAATTAACCACCATCTTTGTTGGGTTAATTTGCATATCACTCTGATTGGCTGGTGGGCATAGCAGAGGGATGGTCAATTTGCATATTTCTCTTTTATTAGTAGTGCTTCTCCAATGTTAATGTGTACACAGATATTACATGCAGATTCTGATTCTGTTGGTCTGGGGTGGAGCCTGAGACTCTGCATGTCTATCAGGCTCCCAGCTGATGCTGATGCTGCAGGTTTGGGGACTACACATTGGGCAGCAAGGGGTATAATGCTAAGCACAGAGTGAGTGGATACACACATTGGGAAGAGGAGCTAACTCTTAAAAATTCGTGTTCTCCACCTTTTATTTCACTCATCTTCAAAATCTGCCTTTCTAAATGGGCACAATAATGGGCTAATGAACCAGAGTGGAACCGGGAGGTTCACTCATGACATGGCACAAGGGTAACTGTAACCGGTTATCTGAGTGTGTCTCCCCTAAGGCGGACATACCGAGGGCCTGGGCCCTGCTGAGGAGTCGCTAAGGCAGGATGGACTCAGTCTTCCTGGCATAACTCATCCAGTGGTGCCACCAATGGCACTGTGCAGTGAAAAGGATGTCTGCAAAACCACTCTGAAGCAGGGGAAGAAAACTCCACAATCAGCAGCTGCCTTCTCCCTAAGCATCTCCTTATGTCACCACATGTCACAGAGGTCCACGTGAGAGTAGTCTTCTGGAGTTAGGGGAGAAATGATGAGAAGTTACGCAAAGTCATGGTAAGAGTTTCTTTCCTATACCTACTTATCCCCAGGGTTTTACTCCATTGTGGTCAGGGTATGACTTTCCTTCTCTTTTTCTGCATATTTACCCAAATGCCCCTTAGGAGTGTTTACAGAATCAAACCCCCTTTTCTTACAATTGTACTGCTTGGTGGACAGAATTTCCATGGGTGGTAAGAAGGGACAGTGATGCTAACCCGGACATGAGAAGCAGATCCTCTCTTGACTAGAGTTTGTGTGACACAGCTTCTCTCATTAGCACATTTCCCTCTTCCTGTGCTATGAATCAGTGTTCTTAACTGTCCCATTCCTCACCTTACTCGACATCCTTTCTGGATACTCTCATGCACCCTAATTCTTCAGTTCCCAACACTATATCGTGACTCTCTCCAGTCCTCAACTCTAATTTTCATGAGTCTCAACTTCACTTAACTCCAAGCCGAACAACTCATAAGGGTGTATCACAGACACCTCAGGCTCAACATATCAAATAAAAACAAAAAACAAAATCATATTCTTGCCTAGACCTGCTCTTCCTCCTCCTGAATCCCCCATTCTGCTTTTCTTGCCAAATATCCTCATTACCACCTCCTTCCAAAACACAAAGTTTGGATGGCGATCTTACAAAAACATATGGCTCCAAATACCATCTATATGCCAATGTCTCAAGTCTACTGAACATCTCACCTGCATGTCTAACAGATGCCTTGAAATCAACATGATCAAAAAAGACCTCTTATTTAACACAGCCCGTCCCACCCACCAGTCTTCCCTACTTCAGTAAATAGCACCATCATCCATCAAACACACAGGCCCGAGAAGCTGAGAACCATCTTGTTATCTACCCTCTATCTCATACCCTACATTTAACCCTTCAGCAAATCCTAATTTCTTCATCTTAAAAGGATGTCCTGCCCTTAATCTAACCTTCTCACCATCTTCCCTCATAGTTCATGTCATCATCGTTTCTTGATTTAGCTGCATTGCTGCCTCCAAAGTGATCTTCCCTGTTGTATTATTCTCACCCCACCCCCTCCATTTCATTCTCCATACAACTCAGTGAGATATATGCCATATAAGTCAGATCAAATCATTCCCCAGTGGCTTCCAGCACACCTGAAGGAGAATCCACACTCCTTTCCATGGTTGACAAGTGGCTAATCATTTGTTATGCCCATCCATACTAGTACAGGTCTGTAATCAATACATTAATTTACCTTTATATTTTTTAGAGTTATGGGAGGAATTGAAAATGGGAAAGGAGAAAAGAATGATTCAATTATTATTAGATAATTAATTTATCCATTCACTTGAATTAAAATACATACATACATATCTGAATATTCACACAGACATGAAGTTTTAAATACAACCAATATATTAATTTATATAATAATTCATAATAATAAGCTTTGTTATGGGATAAACAGGATCCCATGTTTTCCTTTATAATGTCATGCCTACAAATCCAGGTTCAGCACCCTCAGCTTTTACTTGCTGATCACTTCTGCTGCTGTTACAGATGCTTCTAGTCAAATCACTTTCCATGGCACATGCTCATTGTGGAACCTTGTCTTTGAGCTACTTCTTCTTTTTTTTTACTATCTTCTGCAGCATCATTCCTCTGTGGTTTGAGGCTGTTTTTAGCAAAGGGCTATAATGCAGTTTGGGCATAGGATCTCCACTTTCTTCTTGACAAAGGGAAACACTGACAAACAGATTAAGACTATAAAAACAAGGATCCTTTTTTATGAAAGCCTTCCTTGAATAAATATGGAATGAGTTGTCATGGAAAATCCTGATGCTGAAATAAATACGGTACAATAAAATGATTGAACAATGTTCTTGGATTTGATTTTCTAAGCCCTGTTGTTAAGTAATTAGCATGGAAACTGGTTTCTTATATAATAAGATACTCTATTTCATACCACATAGTGTATCACATTAGCCTCAGTACTTCTTTGGGGAGATGGGGTAAATAAAAATTACATGACTTAATGTTACTGTTACTTCATTTTCTTTTTTTCTATCAGGCATATAAAACTTATTAACAAAGAGTGAAAAGAAGATGGGAAAGACTAGGAGAATATTCTTCTCCTGTGTCACACTGAGCAAATTATCTTACCTTGCTGGGTCTCACTTTTCTTATAAGTGAATTATCTCATGGGTCATTAAATTATACCCATTCAGCAAATATCTATACTTTTCACTTACTTTGTCCAGGCACAAGCCCTTCATAA